GGTACTAGTAGTTGTTCAAGACTTGAATTATGAACACCTTGCTAGTTCAGCCTAACCTCTAAGTGTACAGAAGAATGCGGAAGCGTAAAAGTAGTAAACAAAGAAAACAAGTATTGGAGCTTTATAAAAGTTTGTATTGCTTTTCAAAACACTTGTACAAAGTTATAAGGTGGTTTATAAATGAGAGGGCTTGGCCTATTTATAGGCAAGCCAAAAAAAAACTATACAAGATTCTAAAAAGCTCTATACTAAGTCTTCCTATACTTAATCTCTAGAAGCTTCTATACAAGGCAAGACTCCTCTATGTACAAACTCTAAGCTAATCTAGAGCGATCTCGAAGCCTGTAAGGCTTACTATATACTTCTACCCATAGTTATTAAACCCGGCCCGGCGGTCGAACCGGTCAAACCGGTGAACCGGCCATTGGGCCGGGCCGAGTCTTAAATTAGATCGTTTGGGCTACGGAACCGTTGACTAGTCAACGGCCCGGCGATCGGACCGGGCTAATCGGGAAACCCGGCCGGGTTTGTCCACGGGCCGGGAACCCCGTTTTTGGTGAAAAAATTTTATTGCCTTTGTCAAGGCTCGAACCTGGACCTCCACTAATCAATAATGCATGCTTACCACTAGGCTACTCCGAAATTTGTTTATAAAAGGTCTTTATTATAATATATATATGTTTTTTTCAATTCTATCTTTCTTTCTCTAAAATAAATTTATTTGAAATCTTTTAATAAAAATTAGTACCCTCCAAACTCTATAATTTATAAAATGAATTTCAAAAATAACACATTACATAATTCATTTCAAAGATAAATATTAATTTAATAATTTTTTACACTTAAAATTCATAAATAAGCTACATTATTACACTAAATATAGATAAAATTTTACACTTGAAGTTTGGTGTATTACTAAATAACTTTATATTTAATTGATTCTTATATGAATTAATTATTTTATAGCAAATTAAATTAAATGAGCTTTTACTATGGCATTATTTATTACAATTTATATCATATATCTTATATAAAAAATTATGAAATATAATATTTAAATATATTTAGTGACCCACCGGTTCAACCACTCACCCACCGGTCGAACCAGTAACCCGTTGACCCACCCCCTTCGCCGGGTTCCTTCCCGGGTTGGGTTTAATAACTATGCTTCTACCAATGTTTGGAGTATTAACAAAGAAAAAATAGAGCTGAAAAGCTCTTCTATTGGTATCATAAATACTATATGTATTCTCATTTTTTAATTCCTCCTAGTTAGAATTCTAATTGTCAATGAAGACTCGAGCTTCAGTTTCAATTATGTGCCATTGAAACTCAAGAAAAAGTATCAAATCATACCATGAACAACTTACTGCTTCACTAAAAGATTTTGCTTTTACATCAAACTCACAACCAAATACTACTCTAAACAGTTCTTGGAATAGAAACTTATGAAGTAAAATTTACAAATGAAATCTTTATTTTTCTTTGCAAGATAATAACTCATAAATAACATGAGCAATATGATTACTGGGAGCTCATACATTTAGATTCCTTTGATAAACCAGCTTACAATCTGCTTTCCAGATTTTTAAACCATGCTCTTGTCCCTCTTAGCTCCATCTCCAGTATGTCCAACAAAAGGTTACATACAAAAGCTTCATCTTGGTCTTTAAGAACCATATCTATATCTTTTCAGCCAAACTATTTTAATATAAGTAGTGTTTTCCAATATCCAAATGATTTACTCCACATTCTAACAATTTTACTGCTTTTCAATTGACATTGATATCCATCTGACAATCAACCGAAAAAATGGATTCATCAAAATGTCTTACCAATAAGTATGGCATTCTTCAAATATGGTGTTATGTGGAAACAAACACCATTCATATTGAAGACCTCATTAACAGCTGCAGAAATTTATAAAGCACTATAATCACATAAGAAATACAAATTGAATCAAACTATTCTGCGCTAGATCAATTTTCTATATACTCAAATTAAACGGCAAAAAAATTATTCCTCTTTTCCATGAAATTTCACGGAAAGGCTTCCTGAATCTTAATCTACAAATCTTGTAGTGTCATTGAATGATCAAACCTACGGTTTATACAATGTACGATACTTTTATCATCACAGTCTATGTCTTATACGAACATAATTAAATCAAACTCATGTCACAATACTATTATATAAAAGGGAAACTTTCCAATTTGGTCCTATATATTTTCAAAACAAAATACTTTTCAGTCCTCACATTCAAAATCAGCCAAAATGATCCCTCAGATACAAAAAATTTTGTGCATTTGGCCCTACAACTTTTTTTTACCCAGTTTGCTGACGAAAAATGCATGCCTACCTCATGTGCCTACAATTGCAAGGGCATAATGGAAACAAAATTTGTTTCCTATCACAGAAAAAAAAAAGAAACTCACACACACACACATGACCGCCGTCCCCACTTTTAGCCATTAAAACCTATTTCTAATTCTTAAGCAACCAAAGCCCAATTCCCAATTATGAAACTTTAGCGAGTGCAACTTCACAAAAGGTGAAGAAAATGGCATAGAATTTAGATTGGAAAAGGGTAAAAATGATTAAAAAAAAAAAAGTATTGGTGAATCACCACACATAATATTGCGAATCTGTCTAACAAAGAAGGAAAGTATTGCAAATCACAACACATAATATGGTGGCACATAATATTGGTGACACATAATAATAATAGTCTATCGGACACATAACATTGGTGAATCACCACACATAATATTGCGAATCACCACACATAAAGAAGGAAAGTAAAGGCTTGAATCCATTTGACTATTGCGAGTCTGTCTGAGAAAGGAGGAAACGAATTTTGCTTCCATTTTGCCCTTGAAATTATGGACTGTGAGGTTTTTTTGGTCAAAAAAATTGAGCAAAAATGAGCGCTGAGACAAAATTGGCAAAATTTTATCTATAAGGAACTACTTTGACTGATTTTGAATGTGATGGACAAAAAAGTATTTTTTTTCCAAACATTTGAGGGACTAATTTGACAATTTTTCCTTATATAAAATACCAATACTTATTTTAAACATGTTACAATATATTGATAGGTTTTTTGACACACATTAAGCGGACTACAAACTACTCAATTGTCATCCCTTCTCCTCTCACTATTGCGAGTCTGTCTGAGAAAGAAGGAAACGAATTTTGCTTCCATTTTGCCCTTGAAATTATGGACGGTGAGGTTTTTCTGGTCAAAAAAATTGAGCAAAAATGAGCTCTGAGACAAAATTGACAAAATTTTATCTATAAGGAACTACTTTGACTGATTTTGAATGTGATGAATAAATAACATTGGTGAATCACTAGGGATGACAACGGGGTGGGGGACTCCTCCCCCATCCCCCGCACCGCTGCCTACAAACTCCCCCCGCCCCCGCCCCCGCTCCACCCCGCTTTCCCAATGGGTGCCCCACGGGACTAATAAAATTTTGTTATATAATTTTATTATGGTTAAATTTTAGTAAATAATCAAGTACTAAAATATCAACACATCATTAAATTATTATTCATTGTAATTTTACAATTGAAACTTATAAAAACAATCAAACAAAAATTATTTGAATACAATTCAACATGATGAAATACATATAACTAAAGTAATCAAGTTTTCACTTTTGGTACAAATACAATCAATAATTCATTATTGTGCTTTTGCTTTTTTTAAGAAAAAAATGTTATTGTATTAAGTGTAATTAGGGGTTTAGTATAAATGTATTAGTAAATTTAGTATAACCAATTAATAATTTGTATTAGTACACATATATAATTATTAGTATAATTAACAATATCAATTATATTATATATACTAATAGACATCATATAATACATATAACTAATAATATCATTATCATAAGTTTGTAACCAATTAAATTATATATTATATATATAATTATATACCTATATATATTTTATATATTTATTTTTTTAAAGCAGGTGACGGGGCGAGGGATGGGGCGGGGGTACACTCCCCCGCCCTCCGCCCCATTTCTAAGCAGGGTGGAAAAAATTCCCCCCGCCCTCTCCCCATCCCCATTTGTCCCCCGCGGGGCGGGTGACATCCCTATGAATCACCACACATAATATTGCGAATCACCACACATAAAGAAGGAAAGTAAAGGCTTGAATCCATTTGACTATTGCGAGTCTGTCTGAGAAAGAAGGAAACGAATTTTGCTTATATTTTGCCCTTGAAATTAAGGACCCTGAGGTTTTTTTGGTCAAAAAAATTGAGCAAAAATGAGCTCCGAGACAAATTGGCAAAATTTTATCTATAATGACTACTTTGACTGATTTTGAATGTGATGGACAAAAAAGTTGATATAACTAGATTCCAATCTTTTGTCTTATGCGCACTTTCTAAAGTCGTATATATATATTTTTTTTCTTTTTAATTTCCATGACAATTTAATTTAGTGGCTTTTCTTGTTTTGGGCTCAGTCAATTGTCAGGGAATAAAAAGGGATAAAAGTTTTATGCAGTATTCCAAGTACTGTCGTAGATCAACGTCAACCTTCGGGCTCTAACTAGCCAAAAAAAAAAAAACCCCCAGAATACTTCTCTGCCTTTTGATATAACGAATAAAAATAAAAACAAAAACAAAACGTAATTGCATTCGCATCCACCAATTCCTGATACCGATCGTCATTGCTGAAAGAATAATATCCCCAGAAAAAAAAAATTTTTTTGACTGACCAAATCTTGACTTAAATAATACCAATATTCTATCATTAGTCGTCGTCCAGCAGCAAAGTCAAAATTTTCCTGAAACTTTAAAGAACAGGTACTCACCACCAATCCGACGTCTCTTGCAAGCTTCGTAGCTCCTATAAATAGTACTAAATATACTTCAAGAACTTCACCCCCTAACTATTCTGCAAAGTGAAATTTTTAGCTTATTTTTGTGCTAAAAAGATTTGAAAAAAGAAAAAGGGTTCGAGAGAAAACTAGCCATGGCAGCAAGTGATGTAAAGCTTCTTGGTGCACGTCCGAGCCCATTCGTGAACCGGGTTCAGGTTGCCCTCAACCTCAAGTCAATAGACTATGAATTCATCCCACAAAACTTGGCAGACAAAAGCGAGCTCCTTCTTAAATCTAATCCTGTTCACAAGAAGGTCCCAGTACTCATCCATGGTGGTCAGCCCATCTCCGAGTCACTTGTGATTGTGCAGTACGTTGATGAGGTCTGGTCTGGTCCTCCCTCTCTCCTTCCTGCTGATCCCTATGACCGCGCCACAGCTCGCTTTTGGGCCGCTTACATTGATGAAAAGTGCAGAGGCCCCATTCTGGGTCCAGACACGTGGCAGCCCAAGAATGGCCGAACTGGGCCTTGGCCCTCAGACCCCTGGGAGCGGCCCCGGGCCGTACCGGCTAGGGCTCCCAGGGGAGGCGAAGGTCCATCCCGAAGAGGTCGGGGGTAATCCCCCTGAGTGCGGGATACTATCTATACTGGGCAAGTCCCGCGTCGTGCGGAGGTCGGACTCCCTTGCAGGTATAAATGATAACGCACATCCACTGTACAAGGTACGCTCACTATAGGCAAATTACTCCCGGTTGTTACGACCTCCCGTGAACTCTACTCACCGGAAAACTAACTTGACCGTCGGAGTGCCCTCGGGGACCACCCTCGGGCCCCCTCAGTTAGCTCATCCTTTCTGTTTTGCAGGCTTGGAGTCAGCTCTGCCATCAGCGACCCGAGCTGATCAGGTCAGCTCTCCTAGGGGAAGTTCCGTGCTTCTTCAGTTGGCGCCGTCTGTGGGAACGTAAGGTAAGTAAGATTGTGTTGATGGCCAGGACGCGATCCAAGCGCACGGCAGAGAGCACCGGCCCTGGGGGCGGTGAGGGGTTCCAGCAGAAAGAGGCCGGGGCGTCCCAGGGCGTCGGGGGCTCAGCCCTTTCAGGGGAGCGGAGGCAGCAGATCTTCCAATTTGTGACAGAGAACCTCCCCATGCTGGAGGATATAATCCGGCAGGCGAAAGAGGGAGAGGGGGCTGGGGGCGCGCAGACCTCCAAGGCCAAGGGGAAGGAGAGGGAGTTACCCCCTGATCCTTCGGAGGATGAGTCGCGAGACCAACCCCCTAGGAGGAAGCGCCCCCGGACTCCTCCCCGCCCCCGAGCCTCGGTGGTCGGGGACAGCGAGAGGTATTCACGCGACAGATCCGCGAGGAGCCATCCCAGAGACCCCTCTCCGAGGAAGCCCACACGGAATGGGTTCGAGCGTTCCCCGGCTCGGTCTGTCAAGAGCCGGCCCCGCGACCCCCTTTATCTGGACCCTGCTCGGGATGAGCTCGAGCAGATCTTGAGACCCCGGCCATACGAGGATAACTATGCAACCTCGCCTTTTATCCGGGAGATAGAGGACTACCCCCTACTCCGGAGGTTTAAGATTCCGAGCATCGAGATGTACGATGCCTCTACGGACCCAGAGGACCACCTCTCGGTCTTCTTGACGCATATGCGCCTGCAAACCGCCGCGGATGAGGTCCGCTGCAAGACCTTCCCCATGTTCCTAAAGGGGAAGGCGCGGCTCTGGTTCCAGGGGTTGAAACCGGGGTCTATACGGAGCTTTCCCGAGCTGGCTCGGCAGTTTGCAGCCCAGTTCGTCTCCTCGAAGGTCTACGCGAGGAACGCAACCCACCTGATGTCCATCAGGCAAAGGCCCGACGAGTCACTGAAGAATTTCATGACCCGCTTCAATGCGGAGAGTTTGCAGGTCAGGGACAGGGATGAAAAAGTGGTGATGGCTGCCTTCACGAACGGGCTCAGGGTAGAAGAGTTTTTCTACGACCTGGCCAAGAAGCCTCCCGTGCACCTGGAAGAGCTCCTTCGCAGGGCGCACGAGGCTGCTAATGCGGAGGAGGCAGGTCGTCTGAAGAAGGAGTCAGATCGGGAGCTCGGGGATCGGAGAGGTAGGACAAACCCCCCGGAAAACAAGGACGCCCCGTCCAAGAAAAACGTCTTCGACCGGCTCTCGAAGGAGAAGGCCCCTGCTCTGCCGCCACTCCCAGAGAAGACCTACACCCCTCTAACACGGCCCAGAGCTCAGATCTTGGCCGTTATGGAGGCGGAAGGACTAGGAGATCGGCCGCCAAAAATGGGGACGCCCCGAAACAAAAGGAACCAGGACAGGTACTGCGCCTTTCACCGCGACGTGGGACACGACACGGAGGGATGCTGGGCCCTGCGTAAGAAGATAGAAGACCTGATCCAGCGCGGCCTTTTAGGGCGGTTCGTGCGCCGACCAGATCAGGAGCCCGGGCGCAGCCACTACGGAGACAGGCACGAGGGACGACGTCGGGACCGCCCAGAGCGGCGCGACGCTCCTCGAGGCCACTCTCCCGACCAGGACACCCAGAACCTGGCGGGGGTGATAAACACTATTGCCGGAGGTCCCACAGGGGGGGACAGCCATGCAGCTCGGAAGAACAAGCGACCACCCCCCGAAGGGGACGATTCCTTGAAGCGCTTGCGCATGGATGAGGAGATCACCTTCGGGCCAAGGGATGCGGTCCCCCTGGCTTCTGGGAACCATGAGGCCATCGTGATAGACGTTGTCACCAACAACTATCGGGTGAAGAAGGTGTATGTCGACCAGGGTAGTGCGGTCGACATCATGTTCTACAGGGTGTTCAAGGAGCTCGGATTAAGGGATGACCAGCTCACCCCGGTCCGGACACCTCTGGTGGGATTTACCGGACCACCCATCAGCTCGGAAGGGATGATCACCCTGATGGTCACAGTAGGACAGGCTCCCAAATGCCGGACTGTTCCCGTCAATTTCGTGGTGGTCAGGCAGCCGTCCCCGTACAATGTGTTCCTGGGGAGGCCTGCTTTGAACGCCCTCCGGGCTGTTTCCTCCACTTACCACCTCAGCGTTAAGTTCCCTACCCCGGGAGGGATAGCCGAAGTGCGCGGCGACCCGGAGGTAGCCAGGGCTTGCTACCTGGCCACACTCCGGGGGCAGGAAAAGGTGGTCGCCCAGACGACCTGTTTGGAGCCTTACATCCCGGGGGATGAGACCCAACAGTTGGGCACCCAGGATGAGATTGAGAAGTTCCCCCTAAGGGGGGACTGGCCCAACCAGGTCCTCCGCATCGGAGCCTTGTTGCCCGCCAAGGAGAAGGAAGACCTGAAAGCTCTGCTAAGAGAGTACTCACAGGTTTTCGCTTGGTCGGTGGATGACATGCCTGGGATCCCAACGGACCTGGCAGTCCACCACCTTGACGTCGACCCTCACTTCAAGCCGGTGAAGCAGAAGAAAAGGAGTTTCGCCCCTGAGAGGAACGAGGTGATCAAGGCGGAGGTCGGCAAGCTGTTGGAGTCCAAGATCATCCTGGAGGTCTACTACCCGACCTGGTTGGCCAATCCGGTCCTAGTCAAGAAGGAGGACCAGACCTGGAGGATGTGCGTAGACTTCACGGATCTTAACAAAGCCTGCCCGAAGGATTGCTTTCCCCTGCCTAGAATCGACAGGTTAGTAGACTCTACTGTGGGTTTTGATGTTTTATGCTTCTTGGATGCTTTTAAGGGATACCACCAGATAGAGATGGCTGAGGAGGACCGGGATAAGACCTCCTTCATCACTGAAGAGGGGACCTACGGCTACAGAACCATGCCGTTCGGACTTAAGAACGCGGGGGCCACTTACCAGCGCCTGGTCAACAAGCTATTCCGAGGACAGATCGGCAGGAACATGGAGGTCTATGTGGACGACATGATCGTCAAAAGCCGGACTGACCAGCGGCTCATACCTGACTTGAGGGAGATCTTGAACATCCTGCTGCAAAGCCGGATGCGCCTAAATCCAAAGAAGTGCACCTTTGGGGTCAGGTCGGGAAGGTTCCTTGGTTTCCTGGTGTCACGAGACGGAATCCGGGCCAACCCGGACAAGCTCCAGGCCATCGTGGACATGGCCCCCCCAAGGAACGTGAAGGAAGTCCAGCGGCTCACGGGGAGAATGGCAGCCCTGAGCAGGTTCCTCTCGCGTTCTGCGGTTCGGGGTCTACCCTTCTTTCGAGTCTTAAAAGCGTCCAAGGATTTTCGTTGGACCGAGGAGTGCCAGAAAGCGTTCGCCGACCTGAAAGCGTATCTGGCCGAGCTGCCCACTCTGACCGCCCCGGAGCTAGGGGAGACCCTATTCCTATATCTGTCCACCTGCAACGAGGCCGTTAGTGCGGTCTTGGTGCGGGAGGACAGGGGGGCCCAGAGGCCGGTGTATTACGTCAGCAGAGCTCTGCAGGGGCCAGAGACTCGATACTCGCCCGCCGAGAAGCTGGTCCTCGCCATGGTACATGCTGCTCGCAAGCTCCGCCCTTATTTCCAGGCTCACAGTGTTGTAGTCCTGACCGACCAGCCTCTACGGCAGATACTCACCAAGCCCGAGGTCTCGGACAGGATGACCAAGTGGGCCGTCGAGCTGGCCGAGCACGACCTTAGCTATCGGCCCCGCACCACGATCAAGGCCCAGGCCTTAGCAGACTTCCTTGCAGAGGGGGCTAACTTAAACCAAACCGAGTTGGCCTCAACACCCACGGACACCCCGGCGGAGGAGCCTTGGGTGCTGTTCGTGGACGGCGCCTCGAGCAGGGAAGGGAGCAGAGCTGGCCTACTGCTCACCTCGCCAACCGGAGAAGAACTGACATACGCGCTTAGGTTCGATTTTCCGGCATCCAACAACGAGGCAGAATATGAGGCCCTCCTGACGGGGCTGCGGATAGCCCACCAGATGGGCGTCACCGCAATCAGAGTTCGGAGCGACTCTCAGCTCGTCGTCCTCCAGGTCCGCGGGGAGTACGAGGCCAAGGACGAGGTTATGAAGAAATACCTGGCTAAGGTACGGGAGGCGATGGCCCTGTTCAGAACATTTGAAATAGAGCGGGTGCCGAGATCCCAGAACAAGCGGGCAGACGCCCTCTCGAAGTTGGCGTCTTCCTCATTTGCTCACCTGAGCAAGGAGGTCTTGGTAGAGGTGGTAAAACAAAAAAGTATCGATCGGGTCCAGGTCCTGGCTATAGACAGCTCGGCCACCTGGATGACGCCCCTCATAGACTTTCTCAGCTCGGGTGCCCTCCCCGAAAACAAAGCCGAGGCACGCCGAATCCAGCTCCGGGCTGCCAAGTACGCCTACACCGGGGGTACCCTCTATAGGAGGTCGTATTTGTCCCCCTGGTTAAAGTGCGTGACTCCCGAAGAAGGTGATTACGTCCTGCGCGAAGTCCATGAAGGAATATGTGCGGCACACGTGGGATCTCGGGTGTTGGCCAAAAAGTGCCTCCTTTTGGGCTACTACTGGCCCTCTGTCTTCCGAGACGCAGCAGATCTGGTCCAGAAATGCCGAGCTTGCCAGGTACACGCCTCGCTGCGTCATCAGCCAGCTCAGGAGATGATTCCCATCCATAGTCCTTGGCCCCTCGCTCAATGGGGGATAGACCTCCTGGGTCCCTTCCCCCGAGCCCCGGGGAGATATGAGCACCTCGTGGTGGCCATTGACTATTTCACCAAGTGGGTAGAGGCGGAGCCCCTGGTCTCTATCTCGGGGAAGGCAATTCGGAAATTCTTCTGAAAGAGCATAGTTTGCCGGTTTGGGATTCCGCATGTCCTGGTATCCGACAACGGCCGCCAGTTCGCCGAGAACCCTTTCCGGAGCTGGTGCGCTGAGCTCGGAATCAACCAACACTTCACGTCGGTTGGTCATCCCCAGGCCAATGGTCAGGTGGAGAACGCTAACCGAACTGTTCTGCAAGGGTTGAAGACTAGACTGTAGTCCG